TGATGGCTGAGGACACAAAAGGGTCAGATACTCGAGAAACTGGGTTGTCTGAGAATTGGCGGTGGAGGGATGACGACCGTTTTGTGTGTTTGATGACTCAGTGGAGCTTGTAGGCTGCCTGTGGGTTGTAGTCGTTGAAAGTACGAGGGGGGAGAGGAAAGGGTAGCTTGGTGCCCTAGATACGGAGGGTGGGTTGACAGGAAATCTGGTTGAACGCGATCACAATTTACCTTGGGAGGAAGGATGGAGGGTGCGACGGCGAGAAAGGAGAAGGAGGGAGAAAAAGGAAACTGGAACCTTGCAGCGGTGACTAAGCTGTTCTGGAACAACGCCTCAGGCAGCTATGAGCTCATACTCCCCACAGATTCTGCGGATCAATAGATGCACAAATTAGTAATTATATTCATAAGGATACTGCATACTACGTAGTACGTACAGATATTTCAGAAGCCAGTCCTGGAGCTGTCCTCGGTGACTTCCAACATGTAGCGTGCTGCCAGTCTGATGTAGAATCCTTGACAGTGTGCTCAGGGAAAAATCCCAGATTTGCTGCCTTGAGGATGCTAGTATCTGGCAAAGGTTTGCTGGTTTGGGCTGACTCTTGCCGGAGATATATCTCGGGGTAGCCCGAAAAGGAGCCCAGTAAAAGGTACGCAGCATATAGCAGATGCCAGATATCTCTTCTGCATGCATTCATGCTGAAATTCCATTGGTATTGCACGAAAATAGCTGACCGGATCTATCGTCTCTATTACACCGACAGCTCCCGCGACTTGAAGTATTGTACATGCAGAGCATTGATGCTGACAGTCAACAAGTCCGTCGTGATGCAGGAGAGCCGGACTCAGAGGTCTTGATGAATTCGCCCTTGGGCTTCGGTCGTGCCTCATCTCGCAGTCTCTCAAGAAAACCTCTGGAGTAACGACGACGCTCGCCCTTCTTCAATCCACTGAATTTGCTGATATGTACCGCGGTTCTCGGTTCTTCCTGCCCAAGGCGAGTCTTCCAAGAACGGGCAGCTGCGCGACCAGAGGTCTTCAACTTTGTCGGTGATATTTTATCAATCAGGCCCTCTGCAGTCTGCGTCGGTTCTGCGATGCTGGAAACGGGCTTGACTCTGGTCGGCCTCGAAAGAGGTTCGACAATCGTAGCGTTGACGGCGTGGATAACGTCTGCTACGTCACAGCCCTGGCTTCTGGCGAATGCATCGAAAGGAAAGGAGCGAGTAACTTCCTCTGCCAGGTCGGAGAAAAATTCGGCAGTGTAAGGACGCAGTTTGTTGGCCATAATTTCATTTGGGTCTGTGCTCACGCAGCCAGCCGTAGATCCCGGGGCATTGTTCCCTTTACCATCCATGGTACCAGTCGTCTCGACTGCATGGGCCTTTTTGCGAGGGCTTTCGGGGTCCCCAGCGGGGGAAGAAGGGCGTTTCCTCGCCATTGGTAAGGTACCAGAGTCAAGACAGGACAACACAAGCACGGCTGTATATTTTTGTTCAGTACGATATCTTGAAAACGTCTTGTAATAGGTACTGGCCATGTACTCACTCGCAAAGGAAGTTCTTCTTGTCCGGAACTTGACTCAACATTGGGCGAGAGGCGAAAGGAATGATGATAAATAGAAGGGGATTCAAAGACATCTTTGTATTGCCGGGCCAAAATCATAGCATGAGTTGGGTGAAGACAGCCAAAGTGAATACTGTATAGACAATGCCCGCAGTAGTGAATCTTGGGAATGAATCTACTTTCTCCAGTGCTACCCTGGACTGGACCTTGTGGGGCTGCCTGAGGGAAAAAATTCACCGACAAAGCAACAAAAGGTGGAAAAGAACTGAAGATAAAGATCTTAGGCGCAAATGTTTCATCATCTCTAAGAATATACAACTAGCTTTGTAGCTCTCTCAGAGCCAGTTAATGCTCGAGTCGCACCCCCCTTTAGCGCGCCAACTGTGTCATCTTGCTGTCTTGGCTGATCAAATGCTTGTGCTATTGAAGATTTTCCAAGCGCCACAAGCTTGGCGGCAATCGGCGGGACTTGCGGAGACTCAAAAGCGAACTAATTATTAACAACCTTTGGAACCAAGAATGAGTCCAGTCGTTTAACGTCTGAGAGTTTTGAGGATTTTCCCTCCTCTTCTCTTCCCACTTCATCAGATTCACCACGACGCCGGAATGGATCCTATAGAGTCGGCAGGCCCGTCTCAGGACCATCTGCGGTCTCCCCCACCACAATCCGGCCAGACTTCGACGGTGAATCTACCATCGAGTCAGGAAACGACGTCATCGCAACCGCCGGGCCGTCAACGTGCGGCATCGGTACGTTCGAATCGCTCGTCAATTCGTCTCCAACGTCCGCCCTCGTTTATCCAGTCTACGCCTCAGTCACAACAGAGCACGACCAATCTTCCTACCAGGGAGAATGCCTCGCGTGCTTCTTTCGCGGCGCCTCCTGCTGAGGAGCAACAGTCCGATGCCTGGGAAGGCGGTCGTCGCCGTAGCAGCTCGGAGCCACGTCCAGGGCGCTGGTCTGCGCCGAATCCAACCACTCTACCACGACTACAGATTGGTGAACCCATGCACACTGTGATAGAGGAGCCTTCCAGCCAGAGCCCTGTTGGCGTGCGCCGCCCGACCTCAGAGTTCATCCGACCGGCGCCAGTGCCAACTCAGCCGAGGGATGGAGATAACAAAAACATCCTACGAAGGACGAGCGAGGCTGCTATAAAACGGGTATCAAGGAATCGTGCACAAACTGTCAGCGGCACTACGCCGATGCCCGAAGCTCGAGAATATGATTCTCGCGTCGTGGACCTCCTAGATGTTATCGGTAATTAACTCGTCATTCAGGTGGATAAGACCTATTTGATGAACTAATTTCTGTATTAGATCCCGAGGTATCGGCTCTCACGACTCTCACCAACGTCCAGAATTCGTTGTTCGTTCCAAACCTGGGTTCGCTCGTCAATCGCAATCAGACATATACCCTATCGCCGCCATCCGAACTGGAGAAGGAGGAAACGACATCGGCAGAGGAAGAGGAGGAGAAAGATGTTAAAGGGCTTGAACCTCGTCCGGCCTTGCAGAGGCCGATTACTAGTATCTCCGCGGCGCTAGAAGATGGAGAACCGCGGTTTGCCGTGCTACCTGATGACACCAAGCTCGAAGGTTGGACTTATGAGGAAATCGAAGAGTTAAATGACCATGTACGACATATGCTGCATTCACGACGCTCGAAATTCAAGCGAGCGATGAAAGGATTTGGGAAATACGTGTCCAAGCGTACGTTATTTGACGTTATTGAAACCGCCTGCTAACCCTGTCTAAAGCTCTTGGTTTTCTGATTACGCTATATGCAACTCTAATTACACTGTTTGGACTTGCCTGGGTTCTCTTCCTTATTGGTATGTTGCCGATGCGGTTAACAATAGTATACCTGTGCTGACGGGAATTCCAGGCTGGATCAACGTCGGAGGGAGACAATCCGAGATTATTAACATCATAGACTACGTTTTGGTGGCCCTCTTCGCGATTATGGGCGATGGCTTGGCTCCATTCCGTGCGGTTGACACCTACCACATGATATTCATCGCACGCTACACATTCTTGACGTGGAAGATTCGCAGGAAGCGCGATCTTCCTAACCTGAAGGACAAGAACGACCTTCCATCTCGCCGGGAATATGAAATTGATGTCGAGCTGGGCAATACCCCTGCGGACGAAGAGTATGAGTTCAGCGTGCTCAACCGTCTGCAGCAACAGAAGTTACAACATCACCAGGCCAAATTCGCCAAGTCGCATACTTTCTACAAACCACATGAAACCATAACGCACCGTGCGTTTCCTCTCCGCATGCTCATTGCCATCGTGGTCCTTCTAGACTTCCATTCGCTGTTCCAGATTGCTCTCGGCGCGTGTACATGGGGTATCGACCACCATCATCGGCCATTCGCTCTGACGACTGTGATCCTCTGCTGCTCCCTTGCGTGCAACATTTCCGGGGGTGTCTTGATTACCGTCGGGGACCGCAGGACCCGCAAGAAGGAGGTGGTTGAACGCATGTTCCGGCAGCAGCTCACCAAGGAAGCCATGGAGAAGATGCAGAAGAAAAGGAAGAAGCGGCAAGAGAAGTATAAAGAGGGGCAATCCGGGTCAACGTCCAATTCGTCTTCGACCAACGCTCCGCAGCCTTATGACGGAACCTGATATTTTTACGCTTTCTATTGACTCACGATGACTACGACTGTTATATGCTTGCCGTGTTACCATGTTAAGCCACTTACGTTGGCTTCTATATACTTGTTCCCCCTTCCATGACTGATCTGCTGTTTTCTGCTAGACCTTATATACGGGAACCATTAGCGTACGGATCCCCCGATACCACTGATGTTGTTTTGACGATTGTACAGTATATATATTACCTATTGTTTTTAATAGTCGCTTGTTTGAGATGGAGGAAATGGAAGACAAGCTCCCTGCGTCTACATGGGCAGACTATTTATGTCAACTGTATTTATACCTCTAGAGCACACACCGTATCATCATAGGTTTTCGGTGGATGTGTTTAAGTTAACATCATGGATAGATCCAAGTGTTCCCAGTTAGGGCTAGCCTTGGTTAGATAGAGGACGGACCTCCGAGCCCTATCTTGATTCTGGTACAGACGGAGCACGCAACATGACTGCCGTAGGCAACTAAGTATCATTAGATTTTCACTCAACGATCACGTTCCGGAGATTGTAACCAAAAATACGGCAGATAAATAAGCCAGAAGTGGCAAGCTTCCTCGAGGTGCTGGAAAAATAATCCCCATGCTTCTTTTATGTATCGGATGACAAGGGAGCCGCATTACACTGCATTGATATCTGTACATAGCACATTTGCAAAGCCAGCTTTTGGCCTCCCGAGTCTCTCTGCCTGGTGGTTTAGCTGGTATACCCTAACTGACTAGAGAACATCATGTCAACTCAAAAAAAAAATAAAAAAAAAGTGAATATCACGGCATGACCAATCCAGGGATTGAACCTGGGATCTTCTGTGATGCCTACATATATGTAAACTGTAAGACAGATGCCATAACCACTAGGCCAATTGGTCAACATAAAGTACATAGTTCCTCTTCATCGCCACATATACAACAAGCGAAGTTGAGAACCAAACTCCAGCGGGCGGAAAGAGTTGATACCAGAAAAGACCAAACACTGCAAACATGCAAAACTTCACAAACCCTGCTTCCTGTCGCAGCTTTGTCGCGTCATCCCGAGCCACATCTGCATTGGTACGTAGAAGCTGCGCGGCTAAAACTCGTCAGTCATGGAGGATTTCGACGAGGAAGCGTTCAAGCAGTTTTTCCCGTCAAGCTTTGGGAAACAGCAGAAGAAAACAGATGTCAACGCTCAGATCAATCTTACGAAGCGCACCGTTGAACCGGACCGCACCGATGAGCAGGCGAAGCCGACCGGTGTTGAGAATGCAGACGTGAAATCAGATAGCGAAGACGACGATGTCGGTCCGGCGACAAGTACGGGCCCCGGGCCCCAAAACGATGTTTCCTCGGACGATTCGGACGACTCCGACTCCGACTCCGACGACGATGAAGATGAGTTCCCAGTATCTCATGAGCTCGTCATCAAGACGCACGAGCGCGCAGTCACCACCATCACAGTTGACCCGGCGGGATCACGCTTAATTACCGGTTCCACTGATTGTACGCTAAAGCTCCATGATTTCGCCTCCATGACCCCGTCAACCGTGCGCTCGTTCAAATCGGTCGATCCCTCTGCAAAGAAACAGTCGGCAGCACAAGAAACTCACGCTGTGCACTATGCGGCCTTCAACCCGATAACTCCCGGATATGTCTTGGCTGTATCTGCTACGCCGCAACCGAGAATTCTCAGTCGCGATGGGGATACGGTGACTGAGTTCGTGAAGGGTGATATGTACCTGAGGGATCTTCATAATACCAAGGGCCATATATCAGAGGTCACGAGTGGCGCGTGGTGTCCCGTCGACGAAAATCTGTGCGTTACCGCGGGAACGGACAGCACAGTGCGCATCTGGGATGCCAACGTTGGAAGGTCGCAGAAGGAGGTGATTATGCACAAGTCAAGGGCTGCAGGATCCGCCGGTCGGAGCAAAATGACTGCGGTTGCTTGGGGCTCGCCGAAACAAGGAGGCGCCAATGTCATCGTTGCCGCTGCTCTTGACGGTAGCTTGCTCATGTGGAACGGCAACGGCCCTTATACGCGACCCAGCGGCGAGGTTAGAGATGCCCATACGAGGGACACTTGGACGAGTGGAATTGATATTAGTCCTGATGGGAGACTCGTCATCACAAAGGGCGGCGACGACACCATCAAACTATGGGATACAAGAAAGTTCAAAACCCCGATTACGACCGTTGCGCATCCGTCCAGCTCATCCCGATTCCCTACATCAAACATCATCTTCTCGCCTTCTTCCGCAAATGTTGTAACCGGCTCAGAAACTGGTCACCTGCATATCTTAAACCCGGCCACGCTGAAGCCGGAACTCATCACACCCGTTACACCAGGATCTCCGTTGATCACAGTACAGTGGCACGAAAAGCTCAATCAGATCCTCACAGGATCTGCAAACTCCGAAACCCATGTCCTCTATAACCCGAATATCTCGACCAAGGGCGCTGCTCTGGTCATGTCCAAAGCCCCCAAGCGTCGTCACATTGATGATGACCCGTCACTGACTATGAACCTATCCCAGGGCATCTCCGGAGATTCGGTCGTAATCGGATCGAACGGTGTCCCGCATTACACTTCAGCTACCTGGTCTGCGCGACACCCCAACGTTGGACTAACAGCATCAGGCCGCTCAAGGGATCCCCGACGGCCTCACCTACCGGCGCAGACTCCTTTCGCAAAGTCACAGCCAGATGAGAAGCATATCCGAGAGAACATTCCCCTCAGCTCAATGCGTGATGAAGATCCCCGGGAAGCCCTGCTGAAATATGCCGACAAGGCACAGAAAGATCCTATATTCACAAAAGCCTGGCAAGAAACGCAGCCTACTACAATATACCGGGATATTAGCGACGATGAAGAACCGGAGCCAGATAAGAAAAGGGCGCGCCGGTAGGAAAGTTTTAGTTAGCATGGTAGATCTTCGATATCTATATAAATCTGATCCATGGACTGAGCTCACACTTGGCGGAATTTCTCGAATTGCTCGACTTGTAAATACTAGACTCATGAAAATGTGCGCAGAGGCTGGAATCTGTTGGCTGCGAGGTGATGGCCAAGAAAAACTTAATAAGGCGTGGATAACCAAGATTCCAATGGGCGAACACGAGTTTGTTTTCTCCGCAGCAAAAAAAGGGCGAATTATGTATGGTTGCGCCTCTCCAAGATTAACCGGCTGCTCCGCACGTGCGGTCGCCATATCTCTCAAACCCCCGATACTCAATCCATCTCCGCTTCTTGTGTCTGATCTCTCCCCCATCGCCATCTCATCGTCGCAGGCAATCCGCCAATCTTCTTCCGGTTAACAGAAGTCTGCATTTTAGCCGCCGCTTCTAAGCCGACATCTTCGACAGTCGGGTTCCAGCAGTTCCAGGGTGCACGATGCAGTTCTTTCCCGCTCCAGCATGATCACTCTCCTTCAAAGTCGTTCAACCTCGAATACGCAGCAGGGTTAGAAGCCCTCGTATCTCCCAAACGTGCTGCGTGACACGTGTCTCAAAGTTCTGCTCTGTCCTACTCGGTTGCAGCAATCTTCTATCGCTTGCATCCTCACTCTTTACCGTTCAGTCCCATATTTCTGACCGTCAAACCCAATGGACTATACGCAAGAATACCCTATAGCAGCCGGTCTGCTCGCTTCAATTTCCTCCTCCGTCACTCCGACACCGACTTCCTTCCAGCATATCACACCATGGCCACACCCTGACCCGACGATAGTGTCGGATCTAGGACACGATCACGGCGACAAAGGGAGCGAGAAATATGAGTGGTCTTCGCTGATTGGTATTATTACGGCGCTGACCGGAAATATATTGATTTCTTTGGCCCTCAACATCCAACGTTACGCGCATATTCGTATAAACAAGGAATGGGAATACGAAAAGCTACAGCAGGAGTTGAATTGGAAACGCGCTCATGGCCGTCAAGACTCGGTGAACTCGTACGGCGCCTTTGAAGATAACGGACAGAATCTAGAAGGGCACGAAGTGAACGGAACGGCTGATGGGTCCGGGAGGTACCGAGATGATACTTCAGGCCGAGATGGCAATATGCAAGGATCTCGTCTATCGGACCGCACTGTGCGAGAGGAAAATGGGGTTTATCATGGGAGGCGCAAGTCCTATCTTCGTTCCCCGTACTGGTGGGCTGGAATAATACTAATGACGCTTGGTGAAGCTGGCAATTTCATGGCATACGGGTTTGCCCCGGCATCTATTGTTTCGCCCTTAGGGGTGGTGGCTTTGATTTCCAACTGTGTTATCGCTCCATGCCTGCTGAAGGAAAAGTTTCGGTCACGCGACTTCTGGGGGGTGCTTATTGCCATCGCCGGAGCGGTGGTTGTGGTGCTTAGTGCTAAATCGTCGGAGGAGAAGATAGGGCCTCATGATATTTGGGTGATGATCACCCGGTGGGAATTCGAAACTTACCTGGGTATTACTGCTGCGCTTATTATCGCCCTTATGTGGGCAAGCCGCAAACATGGACCACGGACGATACTGATCGATGTCGGGTTAGTCGGGTTGTTTGGTATGCCGGCTCTACAATTATGATCGACTACAGTGACTAACTTCCTATAGGCGGATACACTGCTCTGTCGACCAAAGGCGTCTCATCGCTACTGTCATTCACTTTGTGGCATGTCATCACCTTTCCAATTACTTACTTACTAGTATTTGTCCTCGCCTTCAGCGCGTTGATGCAGATCCGTTATATCAACAAAGCCCTCCAGCGCTTCGATTCTACCCAAGTCATACCCACCCAATTCGTCCTGTTCACCCTATCCGTGATTATTGGCAGCGCTGTGCTATACCGCGATTTCGAATCGTACACGGCCGCCCGTGCCTCGAAATTCGTGGGTGGCTGCCTGCTTACTTTCCTCGGCGTGTACTTCATTACCAGCGGCCGTGTCTCCGCCGATGATGAGTCCACTTACTCTGCCGATGAGGAAGAAGCCATTGGTCTTCTGGCCGGAGAGCGGTACCAGGACAGGGTTGACCTATCGCCACCTTTTCGAGCTCAAGCAAGGAACGGGCCGCGGCCACGATCGCACGCGGCCGTCGACCTCCAGTCACCTTCTAGGTCGCTTCTGAGTAGAGGCGTTGAGGACCTTGATGATAATCAGAGCACCCCTCGAGCGACTCTTTCCGCTGGATCTCCTTCGCCTGCTGGGTCTGTGGTAGCTGATTCCCTCGCGGAACCGTCATTCGGTTCTTCTACCTCGTCTCGACCCCTGTCTCTTCTGAGGAACCCATGGGCCGATACGCCTGAGCAAGATACCCAGAGCATTGCCTCTGAGCTAGTCGATCGACCTGCAACTCCCCCGCCACAATCGCCACCCAAGGCAGCGAGCTCCACTGTTCTTCTTCAGTTCCCTCCTGCTCCGGATACGGATGCCCCCAGTGCGCTGGATGGTACACCGGATAATGCCCGTAACAATACCGTTCCTCAGACCCCACCCAGGAAAGGGCGCAACTCCATCTCTGCGCACTTCTCCCCGGGTCCTCTATTCTCAACCCTGTCCGGAGGATTCAGTGCGGTGGTCGCCGACTCAATCCGCCGGGGTGAAATGACCCCAGCCAAGGAGCGAAGGGCAACGAGACGGAATTCACGGAAAAAGCATCCTAGAACCTCGGTTCTCGACGGGATCTTGCGTGATCCAGCTAACCAGGGAGGCGATCCAAATCAAGATCCAGATGCTACCCTTTGGGGAGAAGCGGAGGCCCGGAACTCAGCCGTCACAGCTCCCGTGGACCCTATAGACGGTCCTATAACTGCGCCTGCCAGCGCCGGATATTCGACTCCCGGCGTGGATTCGGGAGAGAACCACGGCAACGATGACGATATTACTACCAGACTGCGCAGTCTGAGTGACTCCTGGAA